TTTGTATTCTGCTTACTTTTTAAATACCAGCCTCTTTCATTGAATCTTGCCAATATTTTCAATCTGTTTTTGTTTTTTTTATTGTTCTCTGACCTTTGCTTAAATGTTTCTCTATTTGTTTCCAATACAACTTTATCATAACATTTCGTAGTTATATCTTTCTTTCCATCCATCACAATCCTTGTACATCTGAAATTAAAACAAATATCAATAACCTTCGTGCTATCTATATTTATTTACAAAAATGCTGACCAACCCACGAGTTTAAAATGAAATGTCAGTGTTATTTTCACTTTTGCGTAATTTAGACGATAATTTATCCATCACACCCTGCATAATGAAATGGGATCAACAGGTCATCAGACCGAAACAAATATCTTAGTTGTATTTTTTGTTTAAATTTCTTGGATAGGCAAACTTTTTCGAGAAGTAGGCAGTATGAGATACGACTCATCATAAGGCGGGTGGCCCTACTAAAAAAAAATTTTTTTTTCGTTTAAGATCACTTCGTCATTTTAACTATGGAAGGCCATACATCTTACAACCGTGGTAAAGTTGATTTTTTTCTTTGGAAAAAAGATATTTTTCTACATTAAAATTTGATTCTTTGGTATAATATTATCACAGATGAGAACCTGATTGACACAAACGGCTGCGTGTGATTTGTTTTATAATTTATTTATTTGAAATTAAAATAATTTATTTATTTAAAAATAAATTTATTTAATTTATTTTTAAATAAAGAAATAACTTTTTCATACAGTGAATAATATTATAAACATTTCCTGATTCTAAAGCAAAATATTTTTAAACGTATAATCTTCCTTGGTGAAAATCGCCAATCGTCTAGAATAATAAAAACGTTATCTTTTGCGAAATGATACAACATTCAAGAAACATTGCACGTCATCATTGTTATGTATGAGAAAATGTGAGTGAACAAGTGAGAATGAAAGATTTTCAAACGTATAATCTTCCTTAGTGAAAATCGTCAATCGTTTAGACTAATGAAAACGTTATCATCATCGAAATATGACAACATTCCATGAACATTGCACGTCATCTTTGTTATGAAAGAAAACAAACACAATTGTAAGAAATATTATTTTCTTCACGAAATTAGCCAGACCATTCAGAAAGCCAAAGGTAAATACTGAATCTCAAGTTTTGGAAAACTAAAAATTACACAAGA